TTACACCTTACTCCCTTTCCCTGCTTACTCCACACAAAGAAATGACATGGCAAAGAGATGCTTCACGCGGAACTCTCGCTTTGCCTTCGAAGATGCCGTGAGACGAGCACGACGGATTTTTTTTCCATCGCACTCCTTCTTGCTCAAGATATGGAAGTCACATCGGACCTTTTACCGGCGACGTCGCACAAAGGCGCGCCACTTCAATCAACATTTTCGCGATATTACTCCCTAAAATTCCATTCTAGAAGCTTGACTCACTTATTAAATTTTAAGTCGTACTAGATTTTATTTAATGCATTCGCCCGTTTTCGAAATGTGCGCGCAAAATACTTTTTGTTAGATCACGGACAAAATGAAGTATCTTAGACGATAGAAGGGAGAAGCTTGCTCCAGTCCCAATTAGAGCTTATTGGTCGTTTTATGATATCCCTTGTGAGACATATAATTAGCGTAAAAAGTATCAATTTTACTTTGCACATTACGGGGCAATCTTAATGAGCTTTTTTACTATGCTCTTTTTGCCACGAGAAAGTTATCGTAATACTCTGAGTCTTGAAATTAGTGCAAGTTTCTTTATTTACGAATTAATTTAATTTATGTTATTTACAGTTATGAAAAAATTCGATAATAAATATGCACACCAATTTAAATAATTAAATTTTATATTAAATCTGATTAGCAATATTTTATTGGAAAAAGTAACTTATCCTTTCATCAAATTTTTTTCATTTATATTCTTTTATTTGTTAAGAAATAATATTTTTTAGAAATTTTTTAGAAGTAATATTTTTTGGAAATTAAAATTATTATTTACGTAAGATGATAATTATTAATTAATTTTGATATTCAGAAACCAATTTATTATATGATTAAACATGCATATAATTATAATAATTTAAAGTTATCAAAATTTTTTACCAATTTTTCCATTACATTTATAAAATTTAAAATAAAGGTAAATTATATTTTTAATATTATACTCTCTTTTCTCTTATTATCACAAATTATTTAATGTAATATAATTAATGAATTATATGATATATAATAATAAATTTTTTATAACTGTAATAATAAATTATGTTTAAATTAAAAACACGCTGAACTTAAGATTTAGTTACATATAGTAACACAAAATATTCCGGAAATACATTTTGAAAATGTTAATGTTGATAATGTCACATAATTATTAATGACAAGAATTATATATATAAACCTTGTGGTAATTTTATCTCTAATGCAAGTGAGCGCGCGGGATATGCTGATTGAAACAATGGAAACCAAGAGTGGTGTATTAAACGGTCAAGAGAAATAGGAGAGTGGAGCATAAATTCACTGGCGAAACATGTCGGACATGGGATGCAATACTTGTTTGTTGCGTCCAACGCGGACCGGATATAGCGTTGCGTTTGCTCGTACGTTCGTTTTCCAGAACGATCAATTGATCGCAATTGAAACACGATATTTGTTCTCCAACTGAACTAATACTTTTTGTTTCCCGCTGCTGATGTTTTTGTCCTGTTAAAATGTTAAAAGTAAAAAAAAAAGACTATCTTAGGCGCAATTTTTGCGAAAAAGCCAGTCTTTCGGAGTAATATAAAGACTTGCATGAGAGAGAACGTTTATCCAGGAAATGTTGAAAGACTTTGCAGAGTTATTTAATTATTTCTTTGTGCTCTTGTATTTCTTTAAGCTCTTTGAAGTTACCAAATTTGTTAACAAAAAGTAGTTCACATTAGTTTTACACATACTATGTATTAGTATGTATTTTTTTTAGAATTTTAGGACTAGAACAAAATTAATATTGCAAGAATTCTTTCAAAATCACATGATAACATTTTTATATTTTATTATAATCCTACCAATGATAAAATCAATATTTGGTAACGTCAACCAAATGACCGTAGATATTGGAAACTCAACGCACTGGGACACGTGGAATATTATGTTTCTGATTCGCCACCCTCGCGAACTGTACGGCATAAAACTTCAGAAGACAGCACTCACTTCCGGAGCGAGTTCGTTGCGACTGCCACAGACAAAAATATTTTATACGTCGCGATAAGGTAACGACCCTCTTTCGGGGTTTTCCAGCCAAGACTAACGAAGTTCTCCGACAGTCCGGAAAATCGAGTGCCCGAACTGCTTTCCTTCGTTTTTCATCGACCTGGATTCACGTCGGATTGAAACTGAAGAAAGAAACAGCGCAGAACGCGAGGACTGTGAGATCTGCTTGGTCGAACGTCTCCAGGACTAATGATTTTCCCCATGCACTTCGATGCAATAAATATACTACCTAAACTTGGTTTCGTTATTTCGTTTCAACGGTAACAAAATACATGCTTTGCTTTTGCTTTCGTTTTGTCACTTTGATAAAATACTTTCACATTTCTGCACTTCAAACTATGAATTCATAAGCAGACTACTCCCCTCCCCCTTTTTCTTTCTCTTGCTCTCTAAATTTCAAATTTCTCAAATTTCTTTTATTAATTATAATAATTCTTTGTCACGGTTGAAGAAATTAATATTAGGAAGAATCAGTTGTTTTATTTATTAGATAGTCTGCGTTTTTACATCTTTATTTATATATTCACAAATATTAATATCATACGGCTAGTGAAAAAATATCTAAACAAGTGGTTTCAATTTCTACTGCTAAATGCAATTGAATAGTTATATCACGAATCAAATTTAAACTATTTACAATTTCAGTATTTGCTAAAAATCAGCAAAACCGAAATAAATTATCTACAATGTTTTATTATTTTTAATTCAAGTTATTTTTATTACGCTATTGATAGCTAGATATTCAGTTTTGTACAAATATACAGAAAAAATATATCTGCAGCCGGCGAAACTAAAACAAAGTTTTAATTAATTAGAACATCGCGAGATGAAAGATCAATATACTCGTGCTTTTTTTAAATTAGATCATATTTTGGCTTCCTCGGATAGTCCTAAATTCGTCATTCTTTTTCGCGAGTGTGCGTGCTCTTCAGCTGAACATTTTTTGATTAATTATCCTGGAAAATCGCGTGGGAAATGCAGCCTGTTATCTCTAAATTATCCCTCTTGACGAACCACTCGTAAACGACGTGAACTGTAGCGGTTGGAGCGGGAAAGTGCGAATGATTTCCGTTTCTGCTGTGGAAACCTCGCTATTGTTTCACTAAGTTGCTAGAGAAACTTCCCTGCTACCTCCCGCACAGTTCCGTTCATCCTTTTCTTCCATTGCTCAAAGCGTATTTTCAGAAGAAGAATTCCGAATCCTGAGATGCAGGATGAGTTTATCGGGTAAGGCCGTAGAGTGTTGCGAGCTCAGCTTCCGAAAATAGGATTTAGCTCTCTTTTTCTCTCTCTCTCTGGTAAACGAACAATTTGATACTGATATATACAGTCTGTTCAAAAATTTCTCTTCGACTATGGGATCTTTAGCTAAAATAAATATTTTCTTCAGAAATCAAGAAACTAATATTTTGTGAAATACAAATAATTCAAATAAATATGTTCCTATAAATTAATAATAAATTACTCCATTAATTTTAAATTAATTCGATATATATATATATATAATAAAAAATCTAAAAAGCAATTAATAAGATTTAGTATTGCAAAAATTGCGAAGAAAAAAGCAAAAAAATAACTCCAAAAGTAAGTTTTTAGTAGTTCTGATTATGTT